ATGGGTCGAGAAGCACTCAGTGAAATGATGAATGGGAATGGAGAACTATCTGCAGACTTATGCGCATTCAACAAATTGTTGATTTGAGGCAGTGTGTACAAGCACAAGGATGTTCACAAAGCGACATGGATTTCACCAGACAATAGGACAGACTAAAAATCAGATCAACTTCATTTCAATGTGAAGAGAGTGGAGGCACAGCCAGCCTACTGGGCACAAGATCACGAAGAGGAGAAGACGCAGGTCCACATCACTCTATCTAGTGCAAGGAACCTACCTACAAAATCAAGTCGAAAGCCTTCAAAGAAGTTGGTAATAGACCATGGTTCAAATTCAACACCCAGAACAGAGAGTGAAAGACGAAACTACAAAGAAAACCTTTACGTCAGCCATCAAGACAAAATGGGAGATATTAAGGAACATTCCTGAAGAAACCTGTGTAGATGAGCACTGGAACTCTTCGAAAACTATATGGAAGGAAACCTGCATAATCATGTTAGGAAGGAAGAAGAAAGAAGATAAGGAATAAATCTAGATTGGACACATGGAAGCTGATAGAGGAGAGGCGGATGGTGAAGCAGAAGATAAACGAGTGCAAGGATTCTCAAAGAGTGGAGGAAGTGAGTACAATGTATAAAACACTAGACAAAGAAGTAAAGAAAAGTGCATGGAAAGACAAAAGACACTTCTACGACACACTGGCAAGTGAAGCAGAACTGCCTGGTGGTGGGAGAGATACGGACCTGACAACATTATATCAAATAACTAGGTTACTATCGATCTGGGAAGAGATCAACACACATGAAACCAATAAAAGATGATGAAGGGAATTTAATTACCAAAGAAGGGAAACAAAGGAAACGATGGGCCGACCACTTCAAGAAGCTCCTGAATCGACCACCACCTGCACTTCGTCGAGAAATACCACATGTAGCCACAAAACTACAAGTGAACACTAATCCTCCAACAAAAGTAGAAGTCCTGAGCTCCATAAAGCTAATGAAATACGGGAAAGCAGCAGGACCATATGAAATCCCACCACAAACACTGAGAGCAGATGCAGAGACAACAGCGAACATGCTCACACCACTATTGCAGAAGGTTTGGAAGGAAGGGAAGGTACCTTCTGATCGAATGGAAGAAGGGCTACCTTGTCAAACTCCCAAAGAAGGACGACCTAAGTATTTGCAACAACTGGCACAGAATCATGCTCCTGTCCACCTCAAGCAATATATTAAGCCGCATCATCCTGGAGAGACTAAAGGATGCACTGGATTCAAAACTATGACCGGAACAGGCTGGCTGGATTCAGGAAGTGCAAAGCATGTGCGGATTACATTGCAACGCTACTCTTCACATCATCATAGAACAGAGCATAGAATGGCAGTCAACTCTCTACCTTACCTCAACTTCATCCACTTTGAGAAGGCCTTTGACAGCGTCGACCGAGAAGTAATTTGGAAACTGCTTCAACACTATGGAATACCTAAAACCTTTATCAATCTCATTCAACAACTATATGAAGACTCCACATGCCAAGTAATTCACAAAAGGAAGCTTAGTGATGCCTTTGAAGTGAAGACAGGAGTGAAACAAGGTTGCCTACTATCACCCATTATATTCCTGACTGTAGTGGACTGGATCATGCAACAAACAGTGAGGAGCGAGAAGAGAAGGAATACGCTAGACCGAGGAAAAGATCTTATAAGATTTGGATTTCGCCGATGACTTGTGTCTGATGTCGCACAAACTTGAAGATCTACAGGCCAAAACTAACAAGTTGACAGAAGAGGCAGGGCAGCCAAGACGGGACTTCAAGTGAATATAGAGAAGTCAGAGGTGATGAAGATACCCAGCCAACAACAACAACAAGAAGCTCCAACCACCACCAACGGGAGAGACTTAAAGGAAGTAGCCTCCTTCACCTTTCTAGGCAGGCAGCACTGTTTCAACTACAGGCGACACAGATGAGGACGTCAAATCCTGGATTGGAAAAGCAAGACAGGTGTTCAATAGCCCGAAACCAGTGTGGAGATCTGCACTTAGCAAGCGGAACAAGATACGGATTTACAACACCAACGTCAAGTCAGTGCTCCTGTATGGTTCAGAGACTTGGCGTGTTATGAAAGGGATTTCCAACAAACTACAGACATTCATCAACAACTGCCTACGCTGGCTCGTTACTGAAGCTCATGTGACCAGAATATTAAGAATAAGCAACAAGGAGCTCTGGGAACGAACCAACCAAGAACCTATTGCTCAACAAATATGCAGAGGAAAGTGGAGATGGATTGGGCATGCACTGAGAAGACCATTCAGGGACATCAGGCGCCAGGACAGGAACTCGAGTGGAACCCGATGGGAAACGACGAGTTGGGCGTCCGACTTGATGGTGACATGGAGGGGATCGTGTGAGGAAGAAATGAGAGCTTCTGGGCTGTCGTAGAGCCAGGTTCAAAAGATTTCAGAGAACAGAGTGCACTGGAGACGTGCTACTGAAGCTCTATGTTCCACTAGGAACCCAAGGGACAAATAATAATAATAACAGGGATCCTATTTAGGACTTGTCAGCTGGATGTACCTTCACCCCAGTCAGTGGTTTTGTTCCCACTCAAACTCGAACCCAGTAACCATTACTTCGAACATCAAGGCGTTTTCCAGTAGGCCACAGAGGCACGAGGGCCACCTCTTGTGAAACGGGTCTCAGTCGTTATCTGATACTTGTAATTTCCCGTTGATATATGCAGGGTAGGATTGAGTGACCACATCCGCATAGGACTCCACCTGTCAACAGAGGTCGACCAATTCGAGCCTATGTGGGAACGCCAAATTAAAATAAGAAGAATTGAAATATTTGAATGCACAATGAAGCAAAAATGACACTACAAGCTAAAAAGTAAAAGAATAAGTGACCACGTTTCAGGATGTAATGGAATGTGCATAAGTCATATTCCCCTATGACAGCTTCTAGATTGTCGCGATGGTTTGGTTTGCTTACCGTAATAATCCCTTTTTGTTATATTAGCTGAAACATCTATTCATTCAGGCTGTGACAACCCAGAGAGGCCCATTGAACGATAATGAGACTAGAAGGAGCATATACTAGATCCAGGAGCGAAGTTTATGGCTTTTCATACCGGGGTGTAGCTTTAGTTGGGTGTTTCCCTGGAAATACCATCATACATGGAGATAACACTTTTTTACCAAGGGGAAGGATTGAAAAAAAGTGAAATAACGCACACTTACTTTCACAATGGACTCATGAGTTGGCGATTAGGATTTTGCCAATTATGAAGTCAACCGAGCTACATCTAAACCAAATACTTTCAAAATGGTACAGTAACCAGTCTCGGGCAAACATTGCTCGAGATTCACAATTAACCTATCAAGTAGATAAGACCTTCAGCACTATTGTAGTTTATTTTTCAGGCATCTCGTGAAAAAGTAAACTCGTAGGGTGTAAAGAACCGGGAAGTATTAAGCACTCGATACTTACAGCAGCATTCTAACCTGTTTTGATAATCACCACCAAACCTCTTTTTCACTACATTTCGTTTTCTTTATCTCTAGTTGCTACCAATTCTACAATATCTTAAACTTCTCCAAGCTCTGGAGTTCATGATAAAGGATTAAATTTTAAGTAGTAGCATATACGACCTCTTGAAATAGCACCTGAAACATCCTTTCTTGATGACAGGTGAACCAAAAAGCATCATTAAGCAAACATCCAGGCAACCTGGGCCATAGGAGTATGCTGTTTCTATCACAGAGACCTAAATGAGGTTGTTCTCTTGTGCAATGAGCCTTCACAATTCACATCTTGGATATCTACAAACTCAAACACCGGTTCCCGTGACTTTATAGGTGACGTAACATTAATTGATATTTAACTGAGAGTAGCTTGTGAGCTACTCAGTTGAATATTATCGTAAGAACTGGTAAGGAATTTGATACACACCAATATCTTTCTGTTCTATGCTTATGTGTTGACTGACTGGACGGTGTATAAGCTCGATTAGAAGTTGTTCGGTTTTCAGATGTAATCATCGTACTGAGCAGCTTCGATGTACAAGTAGATAGGTTATGTCAAGTAACCAAACACCTATCTGGTACATACCCATTTTCTGCCCAGAAATCCATAATGCTGACTTCCTCATATAAATATGCTCAGATAATCATTTATTTTCAGCTAATAGGAATTTTAGACATAAAGAGAACTATTTTCCAACAAAAGTCACTCACTGATTTAGACTCGGTAGTGGATACAGGTAGGTCAAATTATTGTCACTTACCATAGCCGATGATAGGTGGAGGACTGCAGCCCCTACTGCTTCTATCGATTGCCGATGAGAGAAGTGACTAAGCATGTTGACCACTTGGCTTACTTGTGAAATCATATCAGTCCTGGGGTTGATGAAATGCCAACACAAAAGGATGGGTTGAATTTTCCCAACCTGTGGTGTTAGCGAGATAATCAAATGCACAGTAGCAGTTACTATTGCGTAGCACTACATCATAGTAGTTTGCTCTTCTATACTTTACAGCTGTTAGACACTACCGTTCTAGGTATGTATGACAAGACAGCTACAAGCGTTCGAAAATAGGTGGGGTGTATCCACTAAGTGGTCAATGTTGGTTGTGTTGTGAAGATGTACACTGACTTGGGTGGTCAGGATATGGACTATGTATACCAAGATATTACCTACATCAATACGCAAAGCGAACTGTAGTAGGATAAGGTTGAAATGAAGCTGAGGGTAGTCAACCCAAAATATGCCACTAAAGACTTTCGCTTTGGACTGCGCAAGGGATTGTAGGCTTCTTCACTGGGGTCTTTGAAAATTTAGGTTTCAATGATTGCGGACATCACATAATATGTACTGCAAGTTTCGCTGACTTCTCCTTTTCGAGCTGTAATGAACTGCGGCTACTTCAGCTGACACACTTTTGTATGAAGTTCTGAAGCGATGTCATCAATACAATAAAGAAAAATATCCACATAGATAATAAACAATTTTATTTCAGTGACATTTTGTTTAAAAAAACTGTCAACAAATTTTCCACCTCTATGCATGACCGTTTATGCATACCGATATATTCAAATATCAGCGGAGTAGAAAAAAAAGATTCCTCTGCTTTTTTTTAAGCAGTCAGGTGAAAAATATATAACAAAACTACAAGTTGGAAAACAAGGCAATCTTAGAAAAAGTTGAAATAAACATCTAAAAACTGAAAAATGTAATTTTACAACCTTGTAATCTATAAAAGGTAGATTTTTGACTAAGAAATAAGAGTAGAGAGCTTAAGTATTTGAAGAAGCCGCAGCGGCGGCAGCTGCCTGTGTTGCAGCTACAGCTGCAGCTCGTTGAGCACCCCAATGAACATAATCTGGTCGAGTTGCTGCATTATGCTCTTCGATTAGATTATGAACTACTTGTCTGCTATCAGAAAATTCCTTCAACTCTGGGTCATCCCGAAATACTTCTTCTTTACGAAATTGTTCAATGAAGGCACCACGGGTACGTAGCTTATCGTATTGAGCTAAGGTACGTAGAAACAGCTGCGAAAAAAATCAGGAAATTAATAAGAAATGTGAAGAATTAACCAAGGATCAACGATGTACTGGAATATGACGAATATTCGAAGGTAAACTAAAAGAAATTCTATCTGATAGCATTCGGGGCAGCCGAATCCGGAGACATACATTCGCATATAATCATCTTTCAAGGTGGTTGTAAAACTGTTCGAAAGATATCTGTTACTTAGAAATTTACCAAAGCCACTCCAAAATATCTATCAGATTTACAATAGCATACTTTTCATGCATACTTTAGAAATAGCTTCGGTTGCTTGGAAGTACACACATCGAACCCCCATCTCATCTGACTAAGTTGAAGTACGCTAGAGGATAGATGAGGTGTACCTTAGGGAATTTCATTACATAATACTGTGAACAGTTATTCCAGCTGACTTATCGTTCACACAATACTTGGTCTCCTTAGGCAATTCTGTCTTAGCTTTTTTACACCCTGAACCAAGTTTAGCTATATGAAATGAAATAACTGAACAATTCAGTGACCATACACTTATTGACTAAGTTTTATCATACTCCAGGTGGTTTACTCATCAGTGTAATCAGAGAATGGCTATTAAAAAACAGTATCTTATCGTCTTTAAACAAAATGATTCAGTATTATCTTAACTTTAAAGTTACGCCTACTTTGTCTGCAATTGAGAAAACAGCATTTGTACCAATTTACACATCCAAACACAACTTTTCTGTCGGTGAAACTCACAAAAAAGAAACTGAGGCAAACAAATGAGTGTGAGATGCAAAGGAAAGATATCGGAAATTGTTCTCCTTAGCCCCGAAAAATAGAATCGGGATAATCTGACAGTAAGAATTAAGAGTACACAACCTCTTAAAGCGGTAACCAGTGTAATACAATGAAGTTGTCACTGGCCAATTAAAAATAATCATAATTTACAAATATTCTCCATTATTTCATAATTTACACGTTTATGAGTAAGAATATAAACATACGGTATGAAATTGGAGACGAAAAGCTTATGTCAGTACTTACAGTTGATATGCTTGTGTGATTTCCAAGCAAAAGACCACTAACACGATGTGGTGTTTGAACATATGGAGATCGTCTGGACAGTGCAACTTGAATGCTAGCTGGACCCCAAGGGATGAACTGGGCCATACGACGTTCTCGAATCCGCTGTAATGATTTGTGTACCTCAGTGGGGTCAACTTCTCCTTAAAAAAAAGCACAGTCAGAATGGTTGTTAATTGCTAGTCAATGTAAACTATGATAACAAATGTATTTTCCAACGATTTTAGAACGAAGTGTTCAAACTGTAATTACATATCTACTGATAAATTTTAAGTAGTATATATCCGAATTCAAAAATGTTCCTATTGGTGTCAATAATCCTACTCAAACGACTTTTAAAAATTGTCTGTGCCTAGGGTTTTTCATCAAATGTTCTAACTAGTGCCAATGAAGTATTAATCTTAAAATTATGAACTGCATATCCAGAAGCACCAGTAATCCATCACTAAAGATGATGTAGTCAACATCTTCGGTGTTAATTAGACGCGACAGTGGTTGATGATAATACCGAATAAACAACAAACTTCACAAGCCAACAAATCAACGCGTGACTGCACAAGTGGGATTTATTTCTTTTCACTACACTATCATTTACAGGCAGACCCGAATACTATTCATGGAGAGATAGACTACTGCTGAATTCGTAAAGTAGCTCTAGTCACATAGCATACTTTCAAAATAATTCCTGAGCCGTTTACAATCTCACCATACAAACCAGAAATGTCCTTTCGCTAAAATACACATAACTTAGGTTTTTCGATGATAAAATGGTACACGAAAAGACAGTGTTCACTTTTACAGATCACTCATCGGTGTGGGTTGCAGTTGAGTTTAAACAGGCAAGTGTAAGGGATATCGAATCTGTAAGGTTATTGCATTAAAGGGTAAACAATAGTCATCCCATTCTAAAGGTTTTAACATACTATCAACAGTCGCGTTGTTCACCTCAGCCACTCAGTATTGTCTGAGATGGACACTGGGGAATGAGACTGATACATACAAACGGGGACAGTATGATTACACTATGCATAACATGTATTCGCTTACGTAGGGTCGCTGTAGGGTCGACCAGTTGGGAGTAAGGCGGATGCCAAATGATAATCGCGCTATGTCGCGAAACGACAAAAGTAGGCAACTGAGAACCATTGAACTCAAACCCAGCGGTTTAATGGTTAGACGGGTTCGCCGTGAAACCCGAAGGTCCTGGTGGTGGGTGTGTGATGTTGAGGGGTCCCACACTTGAACGAAACATATCTAATGATGTCATCCCATGATGAATACTATCATAAAAGCATTCGATTATCATAACTTATTAGTGATATTGGCAAGTAGTATACCGACAAAGAGAAATGAACGAACCAATACTGAAAGAAACTATTTCACAAAAGACAGTCGTGTTCACAAATGATATTAGCATAATTGATGGCAAGTTATGCAGTTCTTTTTAGTGCATTACATGTGAGCAGTTTGAAGGTATCCCTATTATATAACTGCAGTATGTATCATAAACTGATTGAAAAGGTAACCATTTACGATGGAACGTCAGCTGGAGGGAGACCTTTAACATATTGGGGCCTATTGAGGTGCATATAAATCATCAATTTGATTATCACATTTTAGTGAGAGTACTGTAAGTAGAACTCGTTGAAAAGGTAATCGTACACTAAACACTGATTTTCAAAACTAACTAACCGATGAAGAAAGTTACTGCTGAATAAATGTGTACCACTGGCAGAGATTATCCAACCATGTTTATTAAAATAAGAGTAGGAATGTGCATAATATGCTAAATGTATTCCAACAAATCAGAATAAAGTAGTTTTCGCCTTAAAAATATATGACGATAAAAAGGATGATATTGATAGCGAAATATGCATTTACCCTGAATTATGTTCAATATAGAGACATAACAATGGCTAACACCACGTTGTGTTGGAGTGGAGACCATCATATTTTTCGGTTGTAATAAACGTCGCATCACATCGAATACAGTTGTCCGTCTTATTGTTGTAACTTCTGTATCTGTTGTCAGTGGAGTATAACCAGTCATTAAGAAATGTAGCCGTGGAGTAGGTGTCAAGGGAGCAATTAAACCAATTAGATCGTTATTCATGTAACTTGGATAACGAAGTGTGGCTGTGCTTGCAGACATCACTTTAGAGACCTTAAGGAAAGGATAGGAAAAAGTTAGTACAAACTGAATAACCTACACAAAATAATTCTGATTACACCACAGATACATCAGAGCTTGGTTAAATTCAGCGTGCACCCAATCTGTTTAGATTAACAACGCTTACTAGCTGATTTACTTCTAGACACGACATTCCTCATAAAAGGTAATCTTGACAATATGTTTCACACATGTATAGCAGGATACTACAGTTTAATGCCAAACTGCTTATTAATTGCTTAGATGACAAGTAAATATCTTTTTGATGCTTCGTTATTGGTAAAGACTAGGAGGACATCTTGTACATGGGCAGAGTCTATACGAAGTGATGTAACTATATGGATGTATGGAGAGATCAGTATACCGAACTGCTTTGGTTTCTTAGTATCAGACTATGAGCTGTTACAAACGAGTCTCTGAAACACCAATTTAGCAAGTAGAAAATACACATTAAATATATTCTGTTCTACAGTTGTTTATTACCGTTTTATTTTGACAGGTTTAAGTCACTGATATACCCACAACCGATCTTGAGTTTTCCTGAGCGGAAGTCAATATCTGGGAAGAGCTGAAATGGATTATTTTTTATTTGGAGATTCGTGGTGATTTATTGATTGATTCCAAGAAAGTAGACAGCTGTTTCGTTCAACTTCGCGACTCCTCAGCAGTGCGGACCCATGACCCTACTAGTGCTCCCAGGTTTTCAATGGTTCTCCAACTGATGTCAGTACGAGATAAATACTAACTTGAAATTATTTTCTGGAGGACACTTGTGAAAGGACTGAAGTGGAATGATGGGTGAGTGCTTTGCAAATGATTACCTGTTGTAATGATCTCCAAAAAGAACTAACCATATGTTCTCAAAGCAATGCGGGAGATCAAATATGATTTTAAACAATCCGATATATTTGTTCAAAATCTTTAAGAAAGTGTAGACTGTTTGGGACTAGTATATGCATTACTGAATCTGGTGCGGTGAAGATTTGATCAACATGTCCACAAAAAGCAATAAAATCTACCAGAACATTGAGGCTTCTTTGGTTCTCAGCTCTATTCATACGTCAAGTGGTAATTAATGTATAGATTTTCTTATGATTCATCCCTTAGGCGTAGAAGACATAATTTTAAGTTGCCGTGGATAGAGTATTAGATTGGGTTTTTTGACTGCATCTTAGTAGACAGGAGTCCTGGTACTATATGACGCAATAGTCAAGCTATAACTTGTAAAAAGTAAAAGAGTATGATGACTTCAGTTCCATTGTTTCGTCCGAATCCGTTTTTTCAAATCAGTCCCTTTTATTACACATCACTGGTCTCAGTATCTGCATCTAGGCTAATTTTTCTCACTTTGGTAATTGGGATCGCCTAGAATGTGTTTATGCATCTCTTATTTTCGATATTACTTTGAAATGTCTCTATCCGTTTTGTTGTAGTAAGTTTTTATAACCGCCTGTCAATAAGTGTGCTCGTTAGTTTCTCCAAGCACTACTTGTGAATACAACATTTTACAATGAGAAACACAAACTCAAATATTGACATTGATAAGTACATCTAACTGATTTCAGGATTGAAATCTCACAGGATTTCGGTGACTTAATGGATAGAAGCATTGACAGGTAGTGGGTAGCTATGAGATAATTAGGGTCAAGTGAGAAATTGAAACATGAAAATTAAAAACAATAAACCAGATTGATACATCATAATAATGTATTATTCAGTGAAGTCAATGTGTGTAGTTGGGGTATAGATCTTGGTGACATGGCTGAGAATGGTCACAATGGCGCAGATGTATTTGCTCATTGATATCTAAAACTTGAATATTTGCACTGACAGTTATCCTCGAATTGTTTATTCTGTCACACAACTTTGTCTACTTTGATATAACTTTTTCCATCCATTTGTTCCTTGGACACTACTGTGAAGTGTGACAACTCGAGCCAATGCACCTGAGTGCGAGGTCCTACGCGGATTTTATAAATCAATCAGTAATTAAGTTATGTGACATCCATCTTGGGGGATGACCATAGAAGAACAAGTGATGAATAATGTTCAAGTTTCATTGGAAGAACTTTAGAAGTTTGAAGACGACAAATTTTTACTGTTTGGTGTATTCGATTCGGCATTTGAGGATTACTGAAAAAGCACACAATGTCTGCACTACGATCAGAGTCTACTGTTAGCCATGCCAAAGTATGTTTTTTTCGCAAGTTGTGGAATTGCTTTCATAGTGCGCGTCTCAGATAACTGACTCCACAGAAGGAGTTGACTTTATAAATACACACTGACATGGACACATATAAAACTCTATCTTTTAAACGTGGTATTAAGAAACATTTATTGGTGAAAGGCAATATCATGATTGCTGCAGGAAACGTCTCCTTCTACCCAAATGTGTCCATCAGGCTTTTTGACTTCTCGTCAACTGTGGAACCAGACTATATCTTCCTTATTATGTCAAACAGACATAAAACCAAGTTCCTTGTCTGTCATGATGAATCAAAAATGTCGAAGTATGACACATGATTATGGTGTTTTTTGTATACTATGACCTCAAATAGGATGATCAATTTGCAAACGATTTAAAAACTGCATGGTTCACATTGACATTTCTTACATTTCCCAGCAGCCCAACTGTAGTGCCAGTCAACAGGGTTTCCATCGGACTTGGCCCAATTCGGTTCTATGGGGTGAATTTCTCCTTGGTGCACTGCTGATGAGCAGCCTCGGCCATCCGGTGTTTAGATCACTTTAATCTGGTTGGAGAAATACTACAGACCAACCTGAGGGGTCTCCAACTACTCAAGTTGTTCAGCAGTAGTATCTTTTGCTAATTCATGACATCTCTATGTTAGAGATCACATCTTGTGGACTTTGCTGCGGGGTGGTTTCCAGAGGAAATCCTGTTGATACCACAGTTAGGCAGTTGAAAAACTACTCAGCCGTGAGAAGCTTCAACGTGGGGAGAGCAAGTTGCAAATCATTTTCAAACCAGTCATCCCGTACACGAAAGTCAACTAGGGAGGTTCAGGTAACCTGAGCTAAATCGGCTCTATGAGTTGAATTTGTCCCGGTACATCACTGATGAGGTCAACCCCAAACCAGCGAAGCGGCCATCCGGTGTTTAGATCTGGCTGGTGAAATCTTCAGGTCAGCCTGGCTACCTACTCAAGTTGTTCAGTAGTATATTTCATCTCATCGCGTTAGAAAGACACCTGAGAGATTTTACCCGAATTTCCCATTTTTCGTGAGTTTTATCCGTGGATATGATTTGCCCTTAATTAATTTAAAATATCGTACATACAAACAATGGACACTTATTACAGATGTATGGACAAAACCTTCGTTATATGTGGTACATATATGCTGCATTCCATGAAATCAAAGCATTTATTCACTCTTATTACATAAAAAGAATTCAAAAGCCAAATAAAAAATTAGCACTAATGATACCTACCAGTTGGTTGATTTGAGCAAAAGACGGATTTTCAATGTGTAAACGATCCGTAGCTATTCGATGTAGGGCGGTATTGTCTAGAACAACCTGGGAAGAAGAAAGCAACGAAGATGCATAAAAGGATACAAGCAGGTGTGAATGAGATCAATATACATGAATGAAGACGATAATTATAGTCAATGTAAAGGTAAACTACCCTTAGTTATACAGCACTATCTTGGACAATAATCGTTTTAATTTGGGGGTTTATGGGGATTTAGTGGTTTTTCAAGCTGATATTTATCAGGGACTGAAATCAGTTGGAGAAATATTGGAAATCTGGAAGCACTGGACAGCTGTTTCTACCCAGTGAGGTACTCCTCAGGAGTGCGCACACATAACTCCACCCCACCACAGATAGAACCATGGACCTTCGGTTCCATGGCCAGCACTTACCATTGAGCCACTCGGTCGGAATCCAATGGTCCGTATTTCCAACTTGCATCGGTTCAAGACATAGAGAGACCATCACCCAATGTCATCGTTGAGTATTTTTCCTCATGTTCGACTTAGTTTGCCCCACTGGTCGCGACTTCTTATTGGAACTTCAGGGATCACCACTCGAAGCCAGCTACCAATGAGCACTGGATCAATCTAATTTGGAGGTTTGTGGGGATTTGGTGGTTTTTCAAGTTGGTATTCATCGTGAACTGACATCAGTGCTGGTCACGGAACCCGAAGGTCGTGGGTTTTATCCCTGGTGAGGCGAGGTCATGCGTACGCACTGCTGAGGAGTCCTATACTAAGACAAAACAGCTGTTCAGTGCCCCCAGGTTTCCAACGTTCCTCCAATTGATCTCAGTCCATGATGAAAACCAACCTGAAAAATGTTTATTTTGTCTGAAGACCAGAAAAATGCCTAACAAGAATGACTTGCATTCAAACTCTACATCTGAACTGAGAAACACTGAGAATCAGCATTAAGATGATTTAGTAGAAAAGTTGTTTGTGAAAGGAGACTTTTAGCAGGGACGGCTAGTTCCTGAATCCAGAGAAATTTTAAGTCGAGTTGCGGATTTATTAATTAGTTATTTAATCAGATTACAAATGGGTAAGAAAAATAATTGATGCCTTGATTTCATGTTCAGGAAACTTGTCTTTATTCACAGGTGACTGGATTATTGATAAGCTAATTTAGCTCTTGATGTTTAGCATAAACGATGGCAGACAAATGTATTCAAAATACATGCAAATAATCTATAGATAATTTGAGTCTTACTGATAATCGATTATGATTTGGAAGGGAGACGACGATTAATTTGTTTTTTAGTTTAAAGAATAGAACACATGCCAGCTAACTGTGCGTTCCATTTCTGAAGTTATGACTTTCCCAACGGGGAATCAAAGCGTTCAGTAGCGACTGGTTACTTCTGTAGAATTCAAAGCTATGCACAGTGTACAGAACCCCTCAAAAATGGGGCTAATAAACCAGACATATTAAACAGAAACATAGTCTTATATTCACTAACAACAATTCACTGGTTGCCGATTGATTATAGTTTTATCCTTGATTGGTTATTTGCTATCTAGAGAGTGTTGTATTCAAATGGTGTCTTGATCAGATATTTTCCGCACAAATGAGTTTATACCTCTGATTTGTATGCACACTCAATTAGTCGGATTGCTCAGATACTAGTCACTCTACTAAATTAGTCAGTAAGCTCTTTGTTGTTATATGAATTTCTTTCCAAGAAATTCGGACCTCCCAACAGTAAACCAAACGCTCGAGTGACGCGTAAAACCCAAAAAACAGGATTTATCTGAAATAGGGTTCTATATTCATAGACAATATTGAGTAACAAAATACAAACCCCGAATCGTAAGGTATTTTCAGGTTTATAGCTAGCTATCAAAGCACTTTACAAAGAGTGAGTCAACGGTAAAAACAACAAGGCTGTGTCCAAGCAACCAAAAGGGAATATTAAGAACTCGCCTTAGTCCTCACGATGAAGATGCAAGGTAAACAAGTATCCAAGGTGAAATATAACATCAGGGAACAACGAAAGAAATTACAACATCATCATGAACTGGGAAAGATACTAATATCTAGGGGTGTTAAACGGTGAACAAGATGCAACTGAAACAGTGCCGTCAAGACTGTGGATGAACTAAGATTATTAGGGAACATGAACTATACTACTCGAAAATAATGAGTAGTGTAAAACTGAAGATATAAAAAAAGATACAAAGGTAACATCCCATAGGGTAAAGGAGAACAAATAAGAAACGAATTAACAGTTATAAAATCCCACGGAAAGTCACGAAATTAATCACAGTACACTTCTTGAAGACAACCATCATCGAGATTTCATACTGATTAGTCTATGACAATTTACAAGACAGAACTAAGTAGCTGTTTGACTGTGAGACTTGTGAACTACTACGATGTTTACGGAAGATAAGGTAGGGACTGGTGATGTAGGATTGTTGACAGAGATGTGAGTAGAGATTAAAAATTAAGAAAATGGAAGGTGGAAAGTGATTTGAAAGAACTTGGTTGCTGACGTAGTTGTGAAAGTGGTGGACACTTTCCTGCTGTCCACACTATGAAAGGTTATCTCTTTTTGAGGTACAGCAGAGCCCAGGGGACATCTGCTTGAGGTCTGTCACATACGATCATTTTAGAAGCTCGATAGTCTAATCTGTTTTGTGCAAGTCCGACTATGATCAAAATTGTCGGAATTGGAAGACTGCATGGTATGGGGAGCGTGCTATTTTTACGGCCAACCTTTTCTAACCCCCGTCCGCATAGGGAAGGTAGCATCAACATCATGCTGGTAGTCATCCACAGGAAACACTTTATTGCTGTTACACCCTATCAAGCCAGCAGGACGACTTCACTCTCAGACCCCCATCATATTGTAGTAATTTAAACCACAAGGGCAACTGATTTTCGTTTTATCCTGTGGCGTAACCACATGGATGCATTCACCCCAGTAGACCAAAGTAGTACCTGAACATTTTCCGGCGAAAATTTTAACAATTCTAACGTGTTTGGGAACCTTAAGCACATATTCAAATCATCATTTACGACTGACTACACTTATCATATATAATTCATAACTTTTTGAGCTAAAGGAAATATGAAACATGTACTGAATTTAGTTTGTTCCATCGAACGGTATTGCACTTTGAATTCGGTCAGTGAATACCCTACATAACACTTTCAGTTTAATCGAATTAGAAATAAATAAAGTGCAAATATCAAGATAATATTAGATTGCCATAATAAATGAAGATGACGTAATATGCAACAGACAGAGTTATAACAACTGCTGATGTAGTTGCTTCCCAAAACACGGTTGAACGTTTTTTCTACGGCATATTTACAATTAATCCTTCGTTAAAAAATACATGGCATTAAGTGACATTCCTCTACTGGATAAATTATAGAAACCATGTGAATGATCATTTGCCTTGAAGATAGTAGGTTAGTTATTTGATAATTTCTGACTCCGTAAACTAGATTCGTTATTCATAGTACTGTACTCTTGAGTTACAGTTTGAATACTTGAAGCTATTATGTTTCACTGTGTTTGATATTTACAAAGATGAAAAGTCCAAGACAAGCTGAAGGATCAGTTTGATGTGGGAATAAAGACAGACATGCTCAACGTCGAGGTACACCTTAGCAATTAGATGACAACTTTCCTCTTTGTTAATCACCCCCCTAAGTCTTTTTCAATTGCTCGTAAGGATAAAATACACAGGTAGACATATTTGTATGAGTATGTGAACAGGATATTTAGCTGTTGTTTTGAGCCATTTGTCAGTTAGCCATCTCATGAAATTCAAAACAAAATTGAGCCTAGCAGCGAACTGTGAAAGCCTTAGTTTACTTGATCTGTAACATAAATAGAAAGATAATTTACTCCGTTGTGGCAAGCAGAGGAACCCAAGACGCGCCTTTCACCCTGTCTGGGATTCGCCAGCCGGATGTACCTGTACCCCAAGTAAGTGATATGCATATCAATAAATAGTAATAAATAGAAAGATATTGAGATGGTTATAACTATATGAAGTTCGGACTACTCATGTGGTATTACAGTTCTCAAAGATTAGTTTTTCAATTCCACTATCTTTATTTATTTGCATGGATACATGAGACATCACTCAGACTGACATTGGGATTCTTATCTCGATAAAACGATAAGATCCAACAATAATGAAACCAGAGGGGAATGAAGTAACGATTATTAGTCACTCAAGCAACTGGGTTGGCAGAGCCTCGGGTTAGAAACCCGGTGGTCGCTGGTTCGAATCCTGTCGTGGCTCAAATTTCCATTTTCCCTTCAATCATCATCCAGTACCAATACAAGTCTGCCAAACCACGGCTATCTCAGATAGTTAAAACGATAATCAAGTAGAAATACTTCACCAGTAATATGTGATATTAGGACTCACCACACAATCGGCATTCAAAGTCAGACGTTTTAATGTTAATAAACTGTTATAAGGCTGAACAACAACATCACTAGTTTCTTCTAAGTTTGGAAAAACTGAGTAGGTTTGAATAAGCTTTTTCGGGAAATGTGAGTTAAGACGTTCAAGAATAAATGAGCCCATTCCAGATCCAGTTCCTCCCGCAATAGAATGAGTCATAACGAAGCCCTGGTCAGAAAAGAGAGGAAACACAGATCGATTACAAACTACATATAAACTAATGATTCAATGGCTGTTGAAATTGAGAACAGATGTTATTTCGTGGTTTATATTTAAAATCCGCAACCAGACTTAGTTTAAAACAACCATTCAGTACTTGCATCAATTTGATATATTTGTTCATTTCATGACTCTGTCGTGACGACTTAATATAACCTGTTATATACACGTGGAAGCTTGTAAAATAGCCCTGACTGGTCACTCAGTTTCTCGATAAATGGAAAAGTTGGTAATTTGACAGGTGTATTACAACTTCAACAAATATATACAAAATACAATGGTTTTATATGTATTTACAATGGCCTTGGCTATTCCCAGGTCTTTTTAGATTAGAATAACCTATTAATTTTCGTCTCTTCAACCAATCTGATATTTACAAATTGGCTCATGTGCTTTCTCTCGAAACTCCGGAGTGAAATAACAGGTTGTACAAGGCTTCTTATGAAGATTTTGTCAATCTTTCTCCAGACTATAAGAGATAACATCAACTGAACCTCTTATTAGGAGACTACTGGAGGCAAAGGATTAACCATTTGGATTATCTACAAACTACATCAACTGTATGTGCCGAAAACAGATCAAAATCGACTAAAAAGGTATTCATGTTTTAGCAGTTTGTAAAACGCTAGAGTGATCCTGAAACTAGGCCAGTTATACTCAATCGAATTTAAATCCACAAAAAACGAAAAGGTAGAGACTTTTATGATACTTACTATGAGCAATATCAAGCTAATGTTAGCAGGTAGAGATCTTTAATTTCTTATGTTTAACTCACCTACCTACCTCTCTTACTCAGTTGGTGTTCATGTGAGCTGATACTACCACTTCTTGGGAACAGAAAATATTCGAGGAACTCATAGCAATTTACAACCGAATACATACACACCACTTGTATCCTGTACTTGATTAACCTAAAAATAAAAATAGTTCTTCATCTTCTGTTGTAAATCTGGGTTTACGAGTATTGAAACAGTAGAGGTGAGAAAATCAAACAAGTCACCTTGAAGTAATTAATTATTAGGGGAAAAACAGATTATGAACAATGAAGTTAATTTTGAGGTAGTATTCATCACGGACTGAAATCAGTTGAAGAAACATTGAAAACCTGGGAGCACTGAACAGCTGTTTAGTCACAATAGGGGACTCCTCAGTAGTACGCACTCACCACCTGGCCCCACCACAGATCGAACTAAGGCGAACGCGTTAGCCATTTAACCACTGGGTTGGAGTTCAGTGGTTCACAGTCTCCTACTTATGTCAATTCCCGATATAGAGCGACTATCACCTAAGGTATTGAGATGGCATCTGCTTCCCTTCCGACTAGTTGACCCTAAAAGTCATGGCTTCTCATTAGAACTTCGTGATATCCAACTGGAACCATGTCACTAATGAGCACTATAGAGTAATGTCCAGTCCCTGATGAATACTACCTCAAAATTAAAATCCCCATTCATCTCAAAATGAAGTTAATGTTTAGAAAACAACACGGAAAATGTATTGGACTATTTGCCACCGATTTTAAGCCAGTCCACTGATTTCTGATATTTCATGAAATTCGGTTAGGAAGCCACGAATGTGTCTACTTTAATTAACATCTAATGTTAGGGTTGAAGTTAGTTCGATATATTTGGCGCAGTAAACTTTTAAAAATGCCATTTATAAGCATATATTTCACCGAACAGAGAATTAAGCAAATTATTTGAAACGTTCCTATTAAGCTTTGCTACATGATTGCCTTAAGTGAACTGGTTAACGAAACAACTCACGCCAAAAAAAAACAAAATTCATAAGATAATGAGGGAATTTTCATCAACATATGATTAGGGGTTATTTCATATTAGATTTGTTTATTTGATTCATAACACAGTGATATACCAGAGATATGGAAGGTTTTACTACCAATAAAAAAAAATCATATGAATCAAGTAAATAATACTATATCACTGTGTGTTATAAATCGAATAAACGAATCTAATATGGAATTAAATTCTACCACAGTGCCCAAGTTTTATACCTATATTGGGGGTTATTGTATAACGGACCACACTGCGACACCCCACATCAAGCGAGAAAGCACAAAGATGAACAATAAAGAAATAAAGAATAGTTGGTAAGAATCAGCAGGAATTAATAAAAGATGAGGAAGAATAAGAAAGCACTGAAACCAGAATAACGATTAAAATGAAGATAACGTATGGATACATTTGAGACCGGTTAAGAACCACGTTACCTAGAGTCTCCGACTGCTGGCTTCTGTTGTCGCACGACCCCCAACTGGAAAGTCTTCAACTCTACACTGCTCACACCAACAGTCCAGGACTTCATGCACTAATGCCTTATTTTAGTCTTATCACCTCTAAACTTTTTTCAGCCTAAACCTACACCAGCTGACATTGTGCAAAGAGGCGGAGGGTAACTGAGCATGTGTAACACATATCCCAACCACCTCAGTCGATGAAGGTTCACAACCTTATCAACTGAACTTCCTCTTCTCCCTAAGACTCCTCATCTAACTTCTGCATTACTGGGATGTTGACATAGTAACACACGGCCTAAACTACGAGGCTAATAGGGGTGAAACAGATGAAGCCTTCTCATATTTTATATCTTTAATGGTCATGTTTCACAACCATACAGCAGAACGGAGAGAACTGCAGAGCGGTACACTCGATCCTTAATGGAAAATCAGGTATCACGGCGGTGTCATAAATGACGTAAGTTGAAGAAAGTCAGTTGAGCTTTTCGTATCCATGGAAAGATTTCGTCGACCACTGGCCCACCTGACCTGATCTGACTTCCCAGGTAAGTGAAGTAGTCAATGGGCTCAACCATTTCACTCCCTATTGTTAGACAGGGTTGCACTGAAGACCAGTTTCGAGGAAATAGTTTGCGTTTGGGTGGCAAGAAATACACCCAAAACCATTTCAAATTGCCACTCAGTGTGTCCAGAAGACTCTGCTGTCCTCCAGTGAGATATCTGAAACAGATATCCTGGAACTTCGTGTACCGTTTCAGCTCATCACCTTCAACTTTCGCACCTTAGTGCGAATCGGACAACAAGCAGGTTAGCTAGGACTATAGAAAGCCTCGCTATTGATGTATACTGCATTTTAGAGACCCGTATACAAGATCTCGGTGAAGTGCTTCGAATTAGTTCCTCGTCTGTCAGCTCGAAAAGTATGTTTCATGTGCGCTTAGCGGGAGACCGTGTAACATTTGCAACTGGCCTTGCTAGTGTCAATGTCATACTAAGCGCTAGAGTCGAAGATGCACTACTCGACTGCATCTCCATCAACAGTCGTCTGTGTGCTATTAGGATAGAAGGTTCATCTCGAGTAAGAAGTAACCGGCGAGACAAATGATATCCTTTTGTCATCTCTGCCTATGCTCCGACGGATTGCAGCCCAGATGGAACCAAGGATGAATTCTATCATCAAATGAGTGACCTTCTCAATCAAGTGCGCTCAACAGATATCGTAGTACCGCCCAGGGACTTGGATGCGCAGGTCGGGCGTCTAGGCTTACAGGAGAGTCGTTTAAGTGGCCAATAGGGACTAGTTGCCCACAGGTCGAATAATGGCTTTGCGCAGATCACAACCTATTTCTAGTCAGCACCAACTTGCGGCACAGACATCGTCGTTGCGCTGTTTGGCATCTTTCCTCTGCCACTCAAGCCTGGACGCAAATAGATCATACTGTAATCAGCTATCAATGGCGTGGGTGCATCATTGTGCCGATCTTTAAAAAGGGTCTACGTAATGTATATGACGATCATGGGGTTATTAGTCTGTTACCGGTCGCGTGAAAAACATTGACTGCTATCATACTTCGTAGACTTTGTAAAATACGTGAGAGAATGATTCGCGAGTAGTCCGGGTTTCGTTCAGGGCGTGGATGCCTTGACCAAGTGGTTACCCTTCGAAAGATACTTGAACATCGCCACACGTATGTGAGGCCAATGATCATCTTGTTTCTTGACATTAGGACTGCCTTCGATTTGTTGGACAGAGCTGTACTCTGGAATTGTCTGTTGGGGAGTGGCGTGCCTGAGAAATTTATTAACATCTTGAAACCCCTATATAATAACACTTCAGATAGAGTGAGGGCATACAATCACCTGTCTCCATTGTTCCAAACCAGAAGTGGGGTTAGGCAGTGCTGCCTGATTTCTCCATTCCTCTTTAATTTTGCCATCGATGACATCCTTGAGACAGCTCTGAAGGAAGTGCGTCATGGTGGTGTAGACCTGCTACCTGCAGAACGGTTATTCGACATTGAATATGAGGACGATATTGCCTTGCTGTGCGATAATATACAGGCTACTCAAATTGTACTTAATCAGTTGGTGATTAGTGTGATTTGCGCCATCGAGGTGAAAAGTCCTTTTACAAGAATAGCAGGAGCTTTTGCCTACGGTTGCCCTCGGTTTTGAGCCGTTGAAAGTACTAGGGGAGTTCTTGTATCTGAGTAGTTGTGTAGATGCTGGTGGATGTATAATGAAATTTTCAACCATATATCGAAAGCCAGAATGGCATACACCAATCTGGGCCACCTTTGGCGCTGTCATGACGTTAGTCTGACCGTAAAAGGTCAGGTTAGTAACGCTTCGATGAGCGCAGTTCTGCCCTACACCAGCGAAAACCTTGCCCATCCAAGCTGAGGATGTGCGACGACTCTGTGTTCAATCACCGTTGACGCTGTAGGATTGATTGTACCCGGTGAGTATACCATACAGGTAATTGAGGTATGAAAGCGTGTGTCTAGGCATGATGGAGACCGTCATTCAATAAGTGAAGTCATTTGGAAACAAAGGCTTCGGTGGCTTGGAAATATGTTATACATATCATCGCAACCGTTTCGATGCCGTTCACTGTTTGCTACCCTGGGAGTAGGTGGAATAAGCGGAGAGGTGGTCAGAGTATGACGTGGGATGAAGGAGAGTTGTGTCGGGTTAGCATCTTTCGGTGTATTATGACTCTCTGGATGGGGTCCGAGATATCACATAACTCAGTGGCTTGAGATGTTATCGGATACGACTCAGAATCGAAACTAGTAGGAGCCATGCTTGAGCCCTCTTTTATCTTTTGCTGCTGAAAAGTAGTGAATGTTTTGTTTTGAATGTATCTTGGTTGACTGCCTTTCTAATCATACCACTCTTACTGTGCTTTTCTCTTTTATATACACTTCCCTTAGCTTTATGTCTTCATAATGTAGCACATTTCTTGGAGCCCTCGTTGTACCATATTTGTGTTCGAATAATAATGGTAATAATAATAATAACGATGGTAATAGTGATAATAATGACTCTGCATCTTTTCAGTCTTCTAACAGGACTATCATCTGCGTACCCTAGATCTACCAAGGATTCTCCTGTGATAAGACCGATGGCAGTGAAACTAGGCGATGAGAGAGACCTCCATAAAACGTCTATGATAAAGTTGAATAAGGATGGAGAGAGTGAACCTCCTTGACGGGCACCACTCAACGTGTACAACGCACCTACATGATGACTAACCATAAGCTCTTACACACCTACAGGTGTTAGAGTACAGGGGCTTCTACAGATTGATGTATTTTACTCGGCAGCCCTTTCAGTGACAGACACAGCCATAAGACTTCTCGACCGACAGAATCGAATACTGCTTTCAGGTCGAGAGATACAGTCAGTAACAGGGGTCAGTACATGTGCTTGTGTTCCGGAGCCTGGAAAAGTGAGTGGCTGGTCGATACGCCCACGACCAGATCTGAAGCCTGCCTGATTTTCTCGTGTTCGCTGTTCCTGAGGCCCACTCGGAAGTGCAATGATTACATAACCTAAGATCCTAGACACTACGTTCGTCAGGTTGATTTCTCTGTAGTTATCACAAGAGGGCTTTTAGAAGACTTGAACAATCAGTGACTAAGACCGATGAGACGGGAAAATAGTTCAGTTAATTTGACCAGTAATTTCCTATCACTGTCTTTAAATACCTCTGATACTAGTCCATCAGGTCCTGCTGCTCTTCCTTGCTTCAGGTTGCCTAAAGCTTGACTTCTGTACGTGTCAGGGGTCTTATTTTGATATTTCCTATAGAATCCAACTAGATAGTGAGCAACCGACGGGTAATTAGACGACGATTGAACTGTTCCTTGAAGTGCTCCACCCATCTTTCCAGATGTCCCCCTTGCGAGAGGCCCATTCTTCCCCCGCTATAGTTTCACTAGCCATTGACCTCTTCACCCCGGTTCCCATAATAAGTCTAGATAACTGTCTGTCGTTACCTATTGTCACAGCCTTTTCCATCTCTTCAGCCTTCACTACCCAGTGTTCATCGTCATTACTTGGACTTCTTATCAGTCTACATTTGAGTTTCATTCGCTCCTCTTGTGTTCGGAGCATACAGGAATAGTGCCAGGTTTCTTATGGATGATTGACATTGTTCTGTACAGATAACTGTCATGGCAGTTTTTTTACTGAAGGCAGACTTAGTATTCTCATTGTCAAGCTGCACTCGCAATGGTCTTGTCCCCATAGTTTTTTTACGTTCATTAAGACGTAGACATACACGTACTTGAACCAAACACGAGCTTCAGAAGCAGCGGTAATCTTCCACTGACCCTCGTCCAAAGATAACTGATAGTAATGTGGTCTATCTGTGTCCATCGCTGAGTTGAAGTGGGTAAACGCCACATCAGATAAGGTCTGTCTTTATGTCTGGGGTTCGTGTCGACCAGAAATAAATGGTTATCTGAGCACAGTTGCAACAAGCGATCGCCGTTACCTGTTCATTCGACTGGGATTCCGAAAGTAATACCCACGTGCATTTCTATCTGACTTCGCATACCCACTTATACATTAAAATCAGCTACAACAACAACAACAACAACCATGTCTGAACATTTGGCTTTCAGAAAGAGACTGAACAGTTTTCGGCAAAACTCATCCATTACTTCTTCCAAACTGAAGTGATTAGGTGCGTAAAGAGATTACAAAGAGACAATAGTGACTTTCATTATTCTTCTTAGTCCTCATTGTGCCGTTCAATTATGTACGTAATGAACAGTACCAAATGAGAGTAATAAGTTAGACAAACAGATAAAAAAGATGTTCAACGTCAGACAAACTTACCTCTAAGCTATCACTTCCTTCAGCCTCACGATCAATAATATCAAAGACTTCTTCTTCTAGTTTTTCACCCTGTGTATATCCAGCGGCCCAATTATTTCCAGCACCACCTCCATGTTTAGATAGATAGACATTTTCTGGATTGTAAAGTCGAGCGTAGGGTGAGGATAGAATTGCATTTATTACACGTGGTTCTAAGTCCAGCAAAACAGCACGAGGGATGTAATGAGCATCATCTGCCTTTTTTACACAGAAAAAAGTGATGAAAATGCGATCATTGTGCAGATACTTTATATAATAGGTATGAAAATAAGTAGAGGGAATGGAAATGATTTCTTCCACGATAATTACCTAGTTACTTGTTAACTAACCAAACAGAACGAACACAATAGTTAACGTGTTTAGGATACGTTCTATAAGAGATGAGAATTCATTTATCATAAGACAGCTAGATGGATTCATTGGCACTGACCTGTCAAAGAAGTCTGTGAAATAAGTGCTGATGACAGTACCTATCTTGATAACCAAACGTCCAAGGGCAAGTGTCAAAGTTCAGAAACTTAAAAGAAATTATCGCCCTCATCTTAGACTACAAATATTCTCTGCTACCTCAAAATAACAAACGAGTCTGATAAAGAACTTGGAAAAAGCCAGTCATGATCATAGAGCAACGATAAGAACTACCTCTTCATTTGTCGATTTGCGTAAGGAAAGTTGGCTTTATGATTACGCTCTCAAAACTGTTGAACTCGTCATGAGCATTATTAGACAAAAATACTGAGAGAAGTATATGGAACCAGAAAACCAACGGAATATTTAATCAATAAGTAAGTATGATATGCTACTAGCGAAATGAATAGTGAATACAAACACTGACTGCATATACACACTATGAAAGTAAAGAGTAAAACTTCATGTAATTTCAAGAAAGGTTCAAATAGTATAACTGCTTGTATTATACCGTCGTTGATTGGACCCAAATGATTGGTCTCTATTGGAATCCAGTGGATTCCACTGCTAGCCACTATTCATCTTTACTATAAAAAATTCGAATTTCTGACACATTCTTCTGTTCTGTCATTGTTTATAACTTATAAAATAAAACAAAAAGTAATAAAAAATCCGGTAGATAAATGTGAAATTGGAACGCAAGAAGTGCATCTATCAGAGGATGATGGAGTACTGTTGAAAGTGCGGGGATCTGTAAATCAGGTTTTATGATAACTAACTTATGAAAATGAACGCAGCACCAAGATTACTGTGAAAATCTATTTTGTTGCATTAGATACTTTATTCACAAAGTTATGTACTGATCCTTTCAGAATATGATAAAAATTTCACGAAGACAGTTAATCCGATTTTTTCAGTACGCAACAGGACTGAATATCAGGAAGGTCACGTATAACAATAAAATAATTAAAACCATAAATTTTAGCACTTACTCTTTAACAGTCTTGAAGACTTCATGAGATTTTTTGGGCAGTTTGTCACTGCCAGCCTTGATCTTGGGTAGATACTCCGGATTTATAGAGTTACTTAATTAAGCTTGTACATGCACACCAGTAAGTTTAGTCAGTAGTCTTGTGCATCTCATCTGATTCCTTTCGGCTGGGATTTAGTGATTTAGTTAGTAGTTAGGCAACAAAACATTAAGTTTATTTTGTTTGAAAACGAATCGTTAAACACGCTTACTAAAAAAATGTAAATTACTGCCGTATACTATGTTAACCAAATCTAAAATGATGAATAGTTTAACAATAAATAGGTTAATACAGTGTGAGTAAAAGGTTGGATTTCCACACGTGGCAAGCAGAGGAGAATTCAGTAATCAAGAAATCTTTCGTGCATCAAGCAGTGAGCCAAATATATAGTGTGAGGGCTAATGATGCTACTCGGCTACCCAGACCTCAGAACGTGGAGAGGGAATCAAACCCGTGGCTCACTGGTTGCATTGGATACATTTTTACACGTATTCAGTGAACATGACATGCTTGTTTGTCGCCAGTTATCTGAACACTGTTTACATACTATAGGTCTAAGAAATTTTTCTTGAAATAAGGACTTCGACAGACAGTTATCGTTTGTAACTGCCAGAAAGATGTAGACATCAGAAACCAACTTACATCAAATTCAAAGGAATATCTTGTAGTGATAACATGTAATCAGTTTCCTTACTTTCAGATTCAAACTTATAACGTTTTAGAGACAACTGTGCAAAGACACGTTTAATATAAAAAGTTATTGCATCATCTAGAACTCTGACATTATCTCTCGATCACATGACAAAAGGAAGTTTACTTGGTGTCCTTATCAATTTAGTGATCAGTAACCTAGATCACAATTGATAATTCAACAGAAAAGTGTAAGGCAGTTGTAAAAGTTTGTAAATACTATCACCTGTAACGATGAATCACGTTCAAGTAACTGTCTGAATGTTGTGAGGGGAGTGATAGCAGAGAACTATCTTCGTGTAACCAAAGAGATTAGTAGGCCAATCAGCATCAACTTGTGTATCACAAAATGTGTTAGAATATGGGGTTCACCTTGTGATGCTATAGTACGGTACAGTTATATTTTGGACTTGTCAGATCTAAACGCACAGGCTATTCGATACATCTTCCTATAGGAGTAGCAGTGTCTCTACAATACCGACGACATTGCATACCTAATCCTGGAGTTACCAATAGGTATGTGGACAAAATCGACATTATTAATCGACAGAGGTTATTTTATGCACACAGTTTCAGAATACACAACAAATAAAATACGCTTCACATACTGAACTCTAACTAACCTTGGTTATTGGTGCCGTGGTTGACCAAGGGACAGATACATATTTTTCTGCACATTTGGGGGAGTTAAAAGGTAATTTTGCAAAACTATTGTTTCTGTAGGGATCAAACCATCTGGGTTGAAGGAAGAAACCGTGTGATATTTGTGTCAAGAGATTAGAGCTCTTTGCAATCTTGCTGTAACTTTCATATAAAGAGTGCAAGAATATTTTTACAGGATGTATTACCCCAGTGATTTTCTACTCCGCTATTACTGTTTTATTATTCTCACAATACCTCAGTGTCATTCTATGCGGGTCACAGCTCAGTACTTTACAACTAATATATTCCTGCTGGCGACAATAATAAGCTAGACGGAAATTGATATTTACTAGTTCTCAAACATGCAATCTATAACCAGTCGTAGTGGAAAATAAAGCTACTAAGGTCGGAATGCCTCAAGTACTCAAGATTCAAAATGATCGAATCTGAATCATTTGTGGAAATCAATACGTTGTTATTCCATCAAGTGGCATTTCATATCCGTTTGTCTAGAATACGGATGTTGGTATGATAAAACGTATGTAATGAAGCAAACAAACAACCTCGCTACCAAACACTAATTATTGGCTCACTCATTGTGGATCGAAATACAAATGTAAAAGATTCGATTCAACAGAATTTACCACGCCGTCAACAACCTGTGATTACCTAAGTGCAAGAACTTAGCTTTTGGGTTCCACTTCAAGCACTACAACTATATATCCTTATCGTCAAAATCTCAATTTAAAGTTGTTGATAACTAATTGTAGCACTTGAAATGTTATTCGGTCTTTTGGAAATTGCAATAAACTTAACAACGACTAAAAATTGAACACAATGCAGCGTAAATGGATATGCGGTGATTACTTGGTAGAAAAATACGTCTTTACGATCAGAATCACTAGTAGCGAATTCTTCAAGTGTGCCTTCAGGACTGATCCCATGCTCAGCGCAAAGCTGCTTCCAGAATTCCATTCCAACTGTAGTGTAGGTAATGAATAAAAAAGAAGTAAATGAACGGTTTGAGAGAAGAATGAGGTTTGTCTTTTGTGACACGTTGATTTAAGGCTTTCACCACAAGATCAGAAAGCACTGAAAACAAAGTAAAAATCAGCAACTTTGCTTCAATTTACAAGTTTTGAGAGTAGTTACCTATAGCATAAATTGCTAATGTGTGCATAAATACCTTTTATGTAGAAAATACCGAATATCAGTATAATTTCTGGAAACTTTCTGGATTCCTGTTATTAAAAGTGATAGTTCTTGTGAATATCAGTATCATCGTGTGGAAACTTATTCCCAACCTAAATAGGTAATTATAAAAAGGTGATTTTTAAATAAACACTTTTTTGGTGATGTTCATTTGGACTTCACAATGGTAAATGAAGACCAGCCGACGATCTTGGTAACTTTTAGAAAACAACAATTGTTTACGGTAATGTAAACAATGCATGAATTATTAAGCTGGAACACCGATTCACGTTTGTACATACTTAAAAATTACTATCGCCAATTTCTACGGATTTTTGTCCTTGCAAAAGCACGTTTACATGTACGAAGAGCAAGAGTGAACTATATGTGAAGGTTCTTACGTTTACACATGATTCGTATGAACATACTGGTACCTTTTGTAACCCTAGAAACCCAGTACTAAGTATAGAGACCAAGTTTTCCAAACAGCTCATCTTCAGGTAAAGGCAACAATTGACAGCAGAATTTATCCAGAGTAGGGCGATTTCTAAGTTTTAAATTAACTAAACTGATAGACTACATCTGTCCCAGGCACGGCAATTCCCAGCAGCGTGACATTTTTGAAAGAGTACTTTGGAGGTTGCAAAACTTAAAAATTACTTTATACAACAAGACTACGATGACGATTGAAATTAGTTCCCTGAATATAGTTTCTCTACAACATCTGAAGCATCAAGAATATGAAGGCATATATGGTTTTCAACATTTAATATTGTTCAAGCGAATATAAGAAACTGGTAGTTTTCGAACTCTTGTGTCCAGGTTTTAAGGCCAAGCTATTTTTGTTCGCCTTTACTGCTTCGGTGGGCAGGGAAGTACTTTCTGTTTTCCTACATCTAGCTTTTTGGGATATGTTTATCTGTAGGTTACTTCTCGTTGTAGTTTTTGGACTACGTAAAGAAGCTACAGAGCTTCTAGGAAGATCTATAGTCTTTGTGCAACTACTGTCCCAATGGGAGCCCAAAGTTGCAGGTGCTGATAGAAATTAGATGACGAGGAAACGAAAAGGTGCTCATCATGTGTTAGAAAAGGAAGGAAAGAGTACCCATTCTCAGTGAAACTAAGTATTAATTGAAATCAAGACTGAGGGAAGGGTAAGGTCATATGATGCAAGTGTCACGGTGGGGTTGGAGACTTCCTGCATAGGTTAGTTGTAAGCCATGTGCGCCAATGTGTTTATCTAACAATGTCTGAAATGAATCCAATGTGGAGGCCATTGGTATCTATCATGGTAAGGCGTTCCGTAGGGCACATACCCTTAGTGAAAAAAAGTTGGCTCTAAACTTGATGTTAGCCCTTTGGCATACTACTTTCACTGGGATTCTGCGTGACTGTCTATTCTGGGTTGGTAGGAATTTTGTAAGGATGGCTCACCCAATGGGTAATCGTACACACTGTCGTTAGGTCACTTCACTTACTATGATAGTTAAAGGTAAATAAGTTGTCAGAGTTCCTCTGAATCAACAGATGCACGCAAAACGCATCACTGCAGGCTCCGAGCACAGTGAGGAGCGTATGCAGCTTGAATGTAGGCTGAATACTTTTTATATAATGACCGCGAGTAGTGATGGGAAGTGAAGGTTAGAGAGACGCAAAAGGCAGCGGCGATAGCATTAGACGGGTATTTAGACTATTCAAGAATACTTGAAAAAAGGTGAATGGTCTGTAATTCACTAGCAGAGGAAACGACTAGAACGATGTGTGGAACACTCCGGGGGACAGTCCAACTGGGTTCTAGTTACTATTCCATTGCCAGCTATCCGGTCGGATTCTGAATGGAACATAGAGATAGCACCCCTAACACTTCACAAGTTTATACGATAGTCATTAAATGAACATTTAACTAGTGTGTGTGAGTCAGATATGACCTCCTCTGAATGGTTCCAATCATTGATTGTCTCGTTTGTAAAGAAAGGTGAGAAATCTTCCTGTGATGACCACATGGAAATCGATCCGACGAACGTAGTGTCTAGGATCTAGGTTCGATGATCATTACATGTGTAAGTGGAGCTAGGAAACACCAAGTCCGAGAAAAACCAGGCAGGCTTTAGACCTGATCGTGGGTGTATCGACCAGCCACACACCACCAAGTTTCACAACACAGGCAAACTTATAGACGCATGATACTGACTGCATTTCTCGACCTGAAGGCGGCATTCGACGCTTCTAGGGTCAAGTGGTCCTATGGCAATGACTCTCACTGAAAAGGCTACTGAGTAAGTTCGCCACTCTGTTGAAGGCTGTGTACTTAAACAGCCGTGAGTGCGTTGGTCTATGGTGAGTTGTGTACGTCGATTGGAATCCGTCGAGGATGTTCACCCTCTCCATCCTTAGTTGAATTTATCTGAGACGTACTTATGAAGGTCTCTCTCGTCGTTTGACTTCACAGGGATTAATCTTATCATAGGAGAATCCTTGTTAAATCTAGAGCACACAGATGATACAGTTCAGTTAGGTGAGGGCGCTGATAAGACGCAGTCTTTTGGACGTTTGGATAGATATATGAGAAGGTTTTGGATGTATTTCTTGCCACCCAAACGCAAACTATTTCCTCGAAACTGGTCTTCAGTGCAACCCTGTCTAACAATAGGGAGTGAAATGGTTGAGCCCATTGACTACTTCACTTACCTGGGAAGTCAGATCAGGTCAGGTGGGCCAGTGGTCGACGAAATCTTTCCATGGATACGAAAAGCTCAACTGACTTTCTTCAACTTACGTCATTTATGACACCGCCGTGATACCTGATTTTCCATTAAGGATCGAGTGTACCGCTCTGCAGTTCTCTCCGTTCTGCTGTATGGTTGTGAAACATGACCATTAAAGATATAAAATATGAGAAGGCTTCATCTGTTTCACCCCTATTAGCCTCGTAGTTTAGGCCGTGTGTTACTATGTCAACATCCCAGTAATGCAGAAGTTAGATGAGGAGTCTTAGGGAGAAGAGGAAGTTCAGTTGATAAGGTTGTGAACCTTCATCGACTGAGGTGGTTGGGATATGTGTTACACATGCTCAGTTACCCTCCGCCTCTTTGCACAATGTCAGCTGGTGTAGGTTTAGGCTGAAAAAAGTTTAGAGGTGATAAGACTAAAATAAGGCATTAGTGCATGAAGTCCTGGACTGTTGGTGTGAGCAGTGTAGAGTTGAAGACTTTCCAGTTGGGGGTCGTGCGACAACAGAAGCCAGCAGTCGGAGATTCGAGGTGACATAGCTTATTACCGATATCAATGACGCAGATGTATGCAATTACTCCCTTCATTTTAGTGGTTATACTTAATGAAGTGTATTCCTTTTTATTCCTCCTTCCACTCTTTTACCTGCAGCTGTGGCTCAATAGTTCAGGAAGTCAACTTTCAACAAGTGGGTCACGGGCTCGAACCCATCTTCGCCTACCGGGGTTTGGGGAGCCAAGTAGTATGATTAGCTATCTCGCAATAGGTGTGGCTTATTGCTTACTACACGAATGTGCACAGGGTTGCTGACTGGATTTCGATTTTTTCTTCCCCTTACCACTTTTTACTGTTTTTAACCGATTCTCCTTTGTTCTTTTGTTTTTCATCTTTGTGCTTTCTCGTTTGATGTGCTGATATGTGTGGCAACCTGGGATACTAGGCAGAAATGCCATGCCTTTTGTTGACGTTTGATGATTGATAGGGTTCATTTTAAGACCTACCATGCCAACCCTACGACATTTGTTACCCATCCTTACACTTGAAAAAGTTTATAGTGCCACTCAAACAGTGGACGGGAACCAGAGTTAAGGACTTTCAGATGTGGTTTGAAGAATGTTATAAAAACCATTAAGAAGAGTTCAAGGTAAGAGTTCCAAACAGTATCCCAAAAGTGCAACAGAGTTCATTTTCGCAATTATTTCTTCATAGTTCATATTGATGTATAATTTAACAAAATTGAGGTTTAAATTTCTATCTTCGTAATAGTATGGTTTTCTAGAGTTTAGTTTATTGTATCACATTCAGGAGCTAAAAGATACATCACTTTGCACTTTCCAGGTTAAAGCACTGACTACTTCTTGCTGTTCAAAATTCCAGCAATGTAAGGTCATCTTGGGGCTAATTTGATTCATTACTCTCTTTTATTACCCGCCGTACCCGCATGCTATCTGTTGATGGTAAGATGTAGAAGGAGACTTGTAGACAAATTATTTATGAAAAGCAGAAACAGAAGTGGACTAAAGACACCCCACAGACACACTAGATGTGAAAACATTCCATTGACACCAGGTCTTCTCGGCCTTGGTACAGAATTTCATCCTCCAAGAGAGCACGAAACCAATAGGTCAGTAATTCGTTGACACACCCCTCCCCTAAAGTTTCTTAAGTAGTGTCATAAAGAACAGTAAAAAGCTGTCACGTCAATTAAGATGGTGTGAACTACCTGTTTAGTCTCAGTTAGTCATCCAATCATTCCTAGTGTTCATTAAACTGGTGGCACAAGATCTTTTATTCTGAAGCCAAGGTGGTTGAACAGAATAGTGCCATTACTATTATTATGAAGGAGTTTCTAAACGGTGTCGGCTACCTGGATTTCCCGTACCTTAGATAGCATTAAAAATAGATTAGGACGTCTGCATCTAGTTGCGTCTGTTATGCCATTTGTTTTGAATATTGGTGATAGGATAGCTCGGTTTTACTCTTTCAATATTTAGTTCCACTCTACTGAGGTTGTGAACAACTCGCAAAAGGGTAGGCTTAGTATTTCAGCATTACTAGTTCTCACTCATCATAGGCTGGAAATTCTTCCGGCTTGAACTTAAGGTACCTTTTCAAAAACCTAACTTGTTGGGATTTCTACATTATACAATTTTTCAGAGCAATCATCAAGTGGTGGAACGTTTATAGCTGGCACGTTTAAGGATAGTAGGCTGAGTAGCTTGTGCTAATATTGGGAGTATAAATTTTTGTGAAGGTCCGGGTTTTTCTTAAAAGCATTCACCGAAGGAACCCTACCACAAGTTTCGGTTATAAGTTCCAATCGTTGAACACACTGAGAGAATCTGAGTTTCACTTGTAGTAAAGCACCTGAGAACGCCAATGTAGTTTAGGGTGCTTCTCGTTACAATTTAGTTGTGGGTCGAATTTCAAGCTCAACTATTTCGGCACTTCTCCAGGGTTCAGCGTCACCTTGCGTTCATACACATTAATTTAGTTTCAGTTTTCAGTTATAAGGATAGTAGGTCAGTTGGCCTGTGTTAATCCTTGCAGAAGATATCTCTGTGGAGATCTAGTTTCTCCTTGGACGCGTTGACAGGTGCTGATACTACTTGCTGAGTTAAGGAGTTCCAGTCGTTGACAACAAGATGGGAGAAACACAGATTCACGCTAAGTTGATTCGATCGCGGTTTCAGAATTTTCTTGTGAGGCCCTCAGAGATAGTCAGTTCTAGCAAGGGAGAAAAGATAGGACATAT